ATATATATATATATATATATAAATATATATATGTATAAATATATATATATAAATAGACGTAAAAGATCATTTGTTATTCGTTATTAATTATTATAGATTGCGCGTAGATGGTAGCATGTAGACTTTACACCGTTAAACGAACCATAAAATATCAACACCAATTACTTATTGAGCTTCTCACACGTATATCCGCTTCTCGAAATTACTGATGGCTGTGCCGACAGTTTATCTTGCATCGTCACTCGGCATCTGATCTTTGGCGCATTATTTAACCGCTCTCCTTTACATTACACGCATACATATGCGATTATACGACAGAGATACTTTAGAAGCTCCTTAATTATGCGAGCATGCTAAATGTCCGCTCATACTTAAGATATATCTGTATTTACACAAAGAGCTTACTTTTTGTTTATAATCTATACAATCATATAAATGTAATATTCAATGATAAAATTGTAACATAATAATGCCTAGCCTATCTATCTAATGCGAAAGAGAATATTTTTTACATCGAAATTACAATCCTTCCATTATTCCTGTATATTCTGCAATTAAATTATTATATATTACACACGATCCTATTTGCGTTACAGGATACGGATAAAATCAAGTCGTGTACTCATCTTTATATTTTTATATATACATTCAGGTTGTGTAATCTCCCATCCGAGTAAAATAAGCATACTATTATATACAATGTGACCCAGTGTGTGCATATGTGTACCTGTACGTGTGTGTGCGCGCTCGCGCGTATGTGTGTGCGTGTGTGTGTGTGTGTGATGTGTTTCTCGTTTCTACAATAAAAATAAAATCTAATAAACAAGCAATATTGTAACTAAATAATTTAAATTGATATTAAAATAGGAACAAATTCAACGAAACTATAACCCAAGAAGCAGTCTCTGTCTCTCTTTAATTTTTTTGGGGTATAGATCGGTGAAATTCTTTCCTATTTCAAGTATTATTAAATTCAGTATTAAATCTTATGTGAGAGAAGCATTTCTATTAAAGAAGTGTCGCCTGGTAGCCATCGAGCCTTTGGGAAAAGTATCGGAAAATTTTTCATGCACACACTATATAGTTTGAGCACTGCACTTATCGTATTTTGTACATTCTATGCCTGTAACGATCGCTATGACGATCTTCCTTTCATCGTATAATAAATGTTTACTTGGTCTGTGTCACAAATCGAAGATTTGTACAAAATGATCTATGACTGGTATTTATAGTCCGTTCTTATTTTAAGATCGTTTTAAATAAAGTCTTAAGATGCTAATACAGTCTTCTGTTGTCTTGGCTTGTGACATCGTAAGACTGTATTTGAGACAGTTCTAAATATAAGAATCGACTATGAATACTGCCCTATAGTCTCGGAAACAAGATTGTGATCACATTTTAATATGTAATTTTTAACGGTATACATATTGGTATAATTCATAATCAATTATAGACAAATCCTAAGTAGAACGTATTTATCCGTACTATGTCACAGAAAGTTGTATATAGAGCGTTTAACACATATATAACATTTGCAGAAAATTAAAGAATATTTGTAGGAACGTGGCAAAGATAAATAATTATTGACAAATTATTAACATAATATATATATGTATGTATACATATATATATATATATATATATATATATATATACACACACTATATATATTTACATATATATGTAATTATTAATTAATAATTCATGAATATTATTTGCTAAATAACATCCTAAATTTGATTTGTCGCGTGAAAAGGACATCTATAATTAGAACTGGATAAGAAATGCACATTTTCATAAAAAATTTGAACAATGCTACGTGATGACTACTGCAGGCTCAGCTAGAACTTTAAAGATTCTCAACTGTGTGTAAGTTACATTTATACAATATAAAACTAGATTATCTGTTCAAAAACAATAATCGATACAAATCACATACATAGATTTACATTTGTATATACGTATGCACATATAATTCAATGTAGTTTCAAATTTGTATAAGAAGAGTTAGTATCTTAATTACATGAACGCGAGAGAATAATTAATAATGACAATTACGATTTCTTGCACAATTTTAATTATTACTAATTTAATAAAAATTTAAACAGTTCCTATATATATATATATATACAACGGGTAGTGCTTTTGTCCATCTTTACAAGAAATTATTTACAAAATATATTCATTCATATATTACCTATATCAAATTAACATTTTTTTGTATTAATTAGCTTTCTTATAATAGTTATTCTTATCATCTTTTCATATATTCATGCGTTCTTCCAACGTTCACTGTATTTACGTTTCATAAATAAAATAAATCCTTTTCAAAAGTTCTATATACCGGCCTCTGCGATATTATAACTCAAGACGAACTCTCTTACTGAAAGACTATGTTTGTTAAGTCTGAAAAAACGAAAATATTATAGTAATGTAATTACGAACTTAATCGCTAAATTGCTGGTTAAAATATACATTCATCTCTGGAATATTAATTACAAATGTGAAAAACAGCTTTCACGTTTGCCATTGTTCTTGTTTGTATATGTAAATTTATTATTCTCAGTATTTAAGATGTAATTGCGATATCATTGTCCAAGTATCGGACCAACGTCTCAAAAACATTTTCATCTTTCGCATAGATAAGTACGAAAGCGTTACTGCTTTGTGTCTTGGTGTGGAGCTTATAGCATATGGCAGAAACTAATTCGTGCAAAAAATTCATATATCATTATTTTATATACACATACATGCACACATACATATGTATATATATATATATATATATATATATATATATATATTATGTGTGTGTGTGTGTGTATATATATATATAGTGTGCACTTTACCTACAATATATACAGAAAACTTTCATAACAAATAGAGATGACACACAATAAATAAATATGTATACACAAACAGAGACATTGTTCTAAACAGAGTCTATCAGCAAAGTCGTCAGAGTAGCATTCTAAGCTCCACCAGTTAATAAATTTGTCCACGGTAAATATGTGTTTTATTATTTTACGGCAGTACAATCAGATCGCGGTTTTAATGCCTTAAAAATTTAGACTTTCTTTTACCGTTATTATTTTGTACTGATACAATGAACGAAAGAAATTATATGAGAGAAGATGATTCCCGAAACATAAATATAATTTGAGTTTCTTTAAATTTTCTTAAATGTATAAAGCTCTAGCTTTTCTTCCCTCTTACATCTAATAACGACGATAGAAAATTGCACATCGAAGAATGAAATTTAGTACTTGTGGATAGAATGAATCATTTGACTGGTAAAAGAAAGTTACATACAATATCTCGGCAGTTTTGGGTTAGTTCAGTTACTTAGATCGTAGTGTAATGCATTGAGCAAGTCATATCTGAGTAACTAAACTTTGCTGTTTATAGGAGTACAGCATAAATGAGAACGCTAGACGGTGAAAAGATAATTAAAGCAGATTGCTCTCAGTTTGTTCTTGTTGTTTGCGTAATTCTTAAACATTTAAAGATATAACAATTAATAATGAATGATTTACTAAACATACAAAACTATTTCACACAAACAATACTCCTTTTGTAACTTGCAACAATGTAATTCTTACTTCTAGAGAAAAGAAATAGACGAAAAAAAAAGAAAGAGACAGAAAGACTAAACAGAACTCGCACAGATATTATCTATCTTTTATACATGACTAATATCGGCCAACAAATGTTTTTCATCACGAAATATTTTCACACCGTCCAGCACTTCTTTTTAATACAATACTCCCGATACATATACAGCAACGTTGTGCGCTAGTGTGATGCATACAGTTTCACCAGGTGGGATCCAGCCACACGGCGATCAAATATCCGTTTATATCGGATTTATCAGACAGATAGGCCTTGACGAGCGGTAGCTAATCACTGTCAAGGTCACTTCCCGAAGGTCATTTGTTTTCTCGGGATATTCGCCTCCGTTTCGCTTGCTCTGCTGTCTCCGCCGTTACTAAAACAATGTTTTCCCGCTGTACGAGGTGTTCTCAATTAAAATAGTATGCAAAATATATAACACTGAAACATCTATATCTCTCGTATAATAATAATAATTAATGTCGAGCTTTACTGTACTTTTTTGACATAACATGCCAAAAACTTGAGGGGAAAGGATAAACATATGACGCAAAGAATAGAAACTGCAAATTTAAATGAAACAATCTTAACATTAACAAGAAATAGACGAAACATGCTTATAGAGAATAAATTGATAATTGCAAATCTAAAGATTAAGTGCAGTTGCATACCCTTTAGGTGAGTTATTCTGGAGAACAAATCAACTACGTACCAGCACCACTACGAGTTTTCCTTCTGTTAATATCGTCTGATGATTTAGATGCGCCCCTAGTGTTGCTCGCTGGCGTAGCTAGAGGTGAAGCTGTATTCTGTCGTACAGACCTTCTTGTCGTTACTTCGCCCACAGACTCGTTGCTGGATACGGAAGTGCCCCGTAATCTCTCCTTCCCAACAGTAACTGCCGTCGCTGTCGTTGCCACCGCCGCCACCGCCGCCGTAGTTGCAGTCGTAGTTGTAGTCGTGATAGTCGTCAACGTCGGCGTCATTGTTACTGTTGTTGTTGTTGCTATCGTTGACGTCATCGTCATCGCCGTCGTTGTTGTCGTTGTCGTCGTTGTCGTCGTCGTCATCGACGTCGTCGTCGTCATTGTCACAGTTGCCGTGGTCGGTTGCTTGGTGGTTAACAAACGGCTCTCTCTTTGCACTCTATTACTGGCATTGAAATTTGATATATTACTGAAATTAATTTGACTGCCAGAAACAGCTGTGCTTAAATTCACTTTATAACAAAAGCTTATCTTACATAGCAGAACTCTCAAATCTCTGATTTTCTTTTATTTTCTGGCCAAAAGAATGCATTCATTGTTGCTTACTTTTGATCTTTGGACTTTGGGGAAGCAGCGGATGTTTCATCTGACAATCGTACTCTTGCTTTTCCTACAGACTCAATCAATGGTTCGTCATCAGACGAATCTACTTCTACCACAATGGGACCTAAAAATATAAAAATGCTTGTGTCACATATAAGTCTGGCCCAAATATTATAAATCAGACAAATCTGTGAAAGACAGGTGAATTTAGAATTAGAGACACGCTAGAGTGAGATTGAGAGATAGCTGTATGTCGATTATTAAAATATTTAATGTTCTTCAGCTATTTTTAATAATTTAAAAATTGCTTCGTTTGCATAATCGATAATTATTATCATAAGCTTGTCATATTCGCAAGCCTTGATTAATAAATAGTATTCGACAGCAATAATTCCTTGGCATATGTCCTAATTTGCGTACAAACAGTTCTGTTTTTGGCAGTCCTTGTAATTTGCTAATACATCTATAATATATACAGGATGTCCACCTACCGCATTAGTTGATAATGAGAAATTCCTTAATAAATTCGAGATTAGCGAAAATTTGACAAAAGACTATTGCTCGTTACAATATTTATACATATACATATATCCTTTGTTAAAGGAATTCACACATACATATATATACATATACACATACAAAAAGATTATATTTGAAACTCTAGACAATCAAGTCATTCATAAAATTTTCGCTATAAAGAGAAATTTTCATGCAAATTGAAATTTATCAAAAAATCTGTCATTAATATTTGATGCGCTAATAGCTAAACAGCCTGTATATGTAGAAAAATATTGAATAAAAAAAAAAAAGATATTTGGATAAAATGTAAAAAAGATTCAACTACTACACACAGAGAAATAGTAGCGTGAAATAAACACCTTTCTTAGCCTTTGCCAATATGTTGAACCCCTTCTTTGATTGCTCTTCCTTGCCAGGTACTTGTTTCTTTATAGAACCAGTCTCTTCTACACCCATGCAAGCTTTAATAAGTTCTGCAGCATTCTCTGAGCATTTCCGTTTACCTGGTCTCGGCTGTGGATCATCAGCTGTGCTCGATGCAACGGAACTCTCGCTTTCTTGCCTTTTCCGTTTCCCTATTTTTATTGTCGCGTTAGGAGACAGTTTCGATACTGCCAGTTTTGGACTTGCTTTTGCGTAGGGCGATATACTACGTCGTTCCTCTAATTTGTTAGGACCGTGAGGGCTGCTCTTCGGAGTCTTGACAATATCCGGACTATTCAACTTCTGTGATCTAGTTCTCAGCGATCTTTTCTCATTGTTGTCGTTCGGAATATCGATTAGCAACTGCTCCAGCAACGACTTCGGTGGCCTTTTGACATACTCCTCCGAAATATTGGAGTTCAGTCTCTCCACAAAGTGTCCCTCATCGTTATCTTCTATACATATAACGTCCTGCCGACCCTCAAGCTCCTGTTTTCTCCTACGTTTACGCTTAAGGTGCTCCACATCGCTAGAATCCACTTCGGGATTCTGTGCGGCCGGACTCGGAGTTTCATCGCGTTGCAGTACCACGGGATTGGAATATGTGTACAAGGGTGGTGTGATTCGGATAGGCTGCGGATCTTCGCGGAGAGGTGACTGGATATCCGCATTCAGATCGCTCGTGTCGTTAACCATCTTCTTAACCAACTCGTCCGTCACTTTTTGCAGATTTACAGAAGGCTCTTTGAGCATGATTTGTTGATGACTTTGTACATTATACTTCTGGTTCTGTTCAGTGCACGTTTCTAGTTTAACCGGCGTTGTGTTGAGTGAAACGTTACTATTTTTTGAGACCTCAAACCGATCGGTTTGCCTGGTGTCATCCACTTTTACGTTAATTTTAGATTCTACTTTGATTTCTGATTTGCAACTCTCACCGTTCGAGCAAGAATTATCTGCTGCCGCGTTAGCATTGTTCGCGACCGCACTATCGAGCTTTACAGTTTCAACTTTATTATAAGCAACGTGATTTTGTATTATAGGCACACCATTATTATTATTAATATTATTATTATTCTGTCCGTGAGGTTCATCGCTTAGTCTAATTGCACTGTTACTTTCTACAACCGCCTTCGTGCTGTCTTCAGATACACTTTCCGCACCTCTCAACTCCTCGTGCTTAGAGTTTGCCTTACCCTGATCATTTTGGTTAACAGTACTCTCTAATTTAACGCTAGAACTGTCCTTATCAGAGAAGTCTTTTGCTTGCTGATGTGCACATTGCAATAAGTTATTATCACTATTTATACTGCTGGTTATAGACGCTGTCACAACAGTCACTGTACCCGTCACCAGGGGACTGGGGATACTTTTGTCATTATTCGCTGTATCTAAACTAGCAACCAAATCACTATGTCCACCACCAGTTCTCGGAATTGTCGACGATTTTTCGCTAGACACATTCTTCGCGTCGTGTTCACTGGAGTTTGATATATTGCGATTCAACTGATTCTCAAAATAACTCGTTACAGACACAGGACTTAACCTTTGTGGGCCACTGGACTTAAGAAGTTCCGAATGGGAATTTGAACACATATCACTACTACTAGTTGAGGAAGGCACGTTCTTATTGGTGGTTGATAGGGAGGGTTCCCCCTGTATTACATTCTTCGCGCTGCTTTGTGTCACCGATTCGGTTGCCGATGCCGGCCTATGCAAAGGAGACTCCCCTTGGTTCGGCGATTTTTCCGAAAGAGCGTCCATCGACTCGATGCCGGAATCCTCGCCACCACCGCCACTACCGACTCTCTCGATATTCGCGTCAACACCGATCCCAATCGGTACTGCTGTATTTTCAAGCAGCTTTTGCTTCACTTTTGCTTCGGTCACGTTTATCTCGCCGATGGGTAAAGTTGGCTTGTTCACTGGTACGTCGACACTCTGCGACCTGGGAACTTGATCTACTGAATTGCTGATTACCGAGCTTGGCGTAGTCTTCAGCAAACTAATCCTTTGCGATGCGCTGTCCATCTTGCTCTCTACCGTTGGCTTATCGACTTGCTTTTGAACATGATTTTGAACTGCCTTCTTATGACTAAAGTTCAACTGCTCGACTGTTTTATTGTGCCTATTTATGATGGAATTCACCTCGCTCTTGGCAATCATATGATTTTTCAGCTTTTGACTCATGTTCTGACTTTTGACAGTGGCGATATAATTCTCCATATCGGATTTACTCTTAACAGAGAGCATCCTTGCCACGGGTGGCTGAGAATTTTTCGTCGTAGTCTCTATATGCACAGGTATCTTAGTCTCAGGATTGTTTGATGGATTTCTAGTATCGCCCTGTTGCGACGAATTTGTCGATTTTAATCCAGAATCACTCTCAAAAGACAAACTGGCGTTCGTTTTGATACTTGGTACCGTTGCAGAACTTTCAGAAGCTGTCTTCTGACTGTTAAAATGTGTGACTTCTGTATTTGGAGATTCTGTAACATGTAAAAGTTAATTACTTAGAATGTAGCTTTGCAAATGGATATATAAATAATCTAATAATTTACAATAGATATTGCATATAATGAAATTAAAAATTAATGTTCACCTCCTAAATGCAGATCTTTTTCATCCATCAAACTTAACCGCCTTCTCTTGTCTTCTCTGGCTATTAAGTCTTTCTTCACGCCATTAAGCTCCGTTAATTTAGGAGCGACACTACTCAACGAACTCTTCTCAATCGCTGATTTACTGATGTCGCTATCGCTCGTTCTTCGAATTTCGCCAACTTTCTTGATTGTACTAAAATCACTTCCGGTTAAAAGTGAATCTGGCTTTCTTATTGTATGAGTTATATCGCCCTTAAAAGCGAGCTTTCTCCATTTCGCTTGATTATCTAAAATTCGACCACCCGACAGCAGATTTTGTTCTCGATGTAAACCATCTCCAGATTCCGATTTTTTCTTAGAATCCCTTCTTTTCGTTTTACCTGTAACATAATTATTATTCATAAATACTTGAATAACTAGCAAACACACAATATTTATATAGCTACTATTGAGTAGAATTTCTTACCTCCTCCTATCTTATGTTCTTGCATATGATTCTGTGCATCGAGATCCACTTGAGTCTTCGTTAAAGCTTGTGGAGTATTTAAAGATTGATTCGCAATCGCAGATTTATGCTTCGAAGGAGACGGTATTCTACTATTCAACGGTATGTCATCCATGTCACTGTTTTTACTCGAACTTGGTTTAGTAGTGGTACCAGTTTGTAATCGTACAGCATCCACCGGTAGTTCTTGTTTTAAGGCATTGGATTTGGCTGCAACAGCTTGCAATATGTTATTGCCGACTTTACAAATGGCATTATTTATTGTGGAAGTAGACAAAGGTAATTTCGATGCAGATGAGGTGCCTATAATCATGTTTAATGATCTTTTCTGCAGCAACTTGTTCCCGTCGATGCACTCCTTCATCTTCTTCAATTTACCTCTTCTCTTAATTGCATCACCCTCACTCTCTTTTAGAGACTTTTTAACTTTTTCTCTTTGTACTACTGAAGCGTTACGTCCTCTTAAAGAAATGTGTAACGGAGGCACTCGCAGCGGTTCGTCACCGGTCCCCGTACTCGGGACACCACCGGCAAACATTTTATTCACAGACTTGTCGGCTTTCCGCATGGGCGGTGTATTCACGAAAGAAACATCAACCTTATAAGCCGGTGTAACCGGCTCTGATTTTTCCAATTTTAATCGTAGTTTGATTTTCTCTCCCGGCATCGGACTATGCGCGGTATCCCTACTGGATTTTATTCTACTATGTTTCAAGCTTCCTTCGCTGGCGGTAGACTTTGCCGTTGTTTCGGAATCGGACTGATCCGTGTTTGTCGTCGTATCGTTTCTTCTTGAAAAATTGCTGTCCGCGTCGTCGTCGGAGAATATGGAGTTCGATCTATCGTTCGACGGAGACGGAAAGGAAAAGAAATCGTCCTGATTATCCACTGCACTCTCTGGCTCTGAATCTGAACTTTCACTGGGCATTGGCTCTAAGTGTCCTGTCAGAGGATTGATCAGAAACTGTCGTATTTTCCCGGTCGAGGTGTACTCTGGCTCCGGTTCCGGCTCCGGGGCTTCCTCTTCCGGTTTCGGAGACTCGGAAGTCTCCATCTTGTTGACAGATGGAGCAATGATAGTAGTAGAATTATTTATACGAGAGCCACATTGAGGAAAGGCACCTGAAACCTGATTCGAGACTGACAGACGTGTGGTGTTGACTTGAGCACCTTGTGGAATAGAATTGCTTTGTGTGTTCCACGTGGTCCCATTAGCATTGCTCGTTGTAGGAGACTGATAATTTCTACTAAGGATATTCTGGCTCTGCCCGTAACGAAAATCAGAACTCGCGCTGGTATCCGTATTGATGTTCTTAACCTGATTGTGATGCAGCTGTTGTTGTACATTGAGACCCTGATTTTGCTGACTTAAATGCGTTTGTTGAGGTACCGGTTGCCTCGGATAAGGGGGTGGAGTTTGCTGACGTTGACTATTTAAGTAACCTAGCCGTTGTTGCGTGACATTTAAGCCTACCGTCGAATATTGTATCAATTGTTGTTGCAGTTGCTGTTGCTGCAACATCGACTGATTGATGAGGGACGCAGTTTGCAACGGTGCGTTTGTATTCTGCTGCTGGAGCAGAGTAGATTGCGCCACTCCTTGTGGAACTTGTTGTTGATTTATTTGTTGCGGCTGCGTAAGCTGCTGTTGTTGCTGCTGTTGTTGAATCAATAACTGTCGTTGCAATGGTGTTCTAATTTGCTGTCCATTCACCGGATGCCTGGCAGAGAGATTCTGTAATGGTGTTCTATGAACCAAATCTTGCCTAATGGAAAACTTTTGCTGCGTTTGTACTTGATTGTGTAAAATTTGCTGCTGCTGCTGCTGCATCTGTCCACCAGCCGACATTTGATGCACTGTTTGTGGTGGCATCATATTTTGCCCAGTACCAGTACCGATCACGTTGACTGTAGTGTGTTGCGACGGAAGTGTTGACGGTTGATTAACGTTGACAGTCGCGAACGCTGATGATGTAGAAGTCTGAGGCAAATCGGAAATAGTCGGCGTCGTCGTCGCTGTCCCTAGGACCAAGTCTTCACTTCTCATGGTATCCGAATTCGGTGGCGATTCGCTGGGCAATGAGAGAACTTTCCTCCTAACTGTAGGTTTCTTGGTGGGTCTCATACAATTGGTAAGTCCAGGATTGTCGAGAACAGCTGGTGGTAACATCTTTTGACCAGGTATAACGTTATTCGCATGCGAACCAGCATCATTTTGTAAAAGATTCACAAGTAACGGACTGGACAGGGCAACCTGATTCCCGCTACCGTTCGAACTCCCTGCCAAATTGGTACTGTTGTTTGGTGACAGACTAGATGTTGTAGCAATCGTCGTAGGTTTGTACTGATTCGTTAACTGTCCAACAGTAACGACTGGTTGTGTTGTCGTGTGACCGGTCGTCAATGCCGTAACTGTCGCCAAATTTTCTTGAGATGGATATGGTGGTGGCGGTTGTGCATGGTGCTTGAACTGCATCGTATTCTTGATGGTTGTAGACTGCGATTCGCGGTTGTGTATTGCTTGGGCAGCGTGTGTCATACTGGCAAATGGGAAAGGACCGTTGTAGTTGTTTCTGGGTGATGCATTAGGATTAATTACTTGCTGGTTTCCGGAAACGCCAGTGTTGCCCGCTGACGTAGACTGTGCCGATTTCGCAAGAAACGGTGGAATAGGATCACAGTCTGTGGGCGCGACTACATTCGGAGAACGAAACTGAGGAGCTTTCTCTGATGATGTTCCTGAAAACACAAAGAAATTTATATAACATGTTATTCAATTCGTTATGTACATGTTTTTTTTTTAAGATCTTATATAATTCGTAAGAACTTACCAGCTGCTATTATCTGAGCAACATTATGTAGCGTCGACGAGATGCTAGTAGCATTGCTGGGACCAGGCAAAGCTGTTGAAGGGTTACTGTCAGCAGCAGCTGTATTACTAGTACCATCTCCTTGTGATTTTGCTCCACCATCTTGCGTAGTTCCAGAATGTAGCACAATTTCTTGCGCATCTCCACCAAAGCGACTGGCTATCCTTAAAGATATTACCTGCAAAAAATGTCTCATTTAATAATCATTCTTTTTTTCTTTACAGGAATTTTTAAAAAATGGTATTATTAAAATTACAATAAATGTATATTTATAAATCTATAAAATCCAATCGGATGTATAAATTACCTGATCTCCTTCGACTTGTACTGAGAGTATACCAAGTTGTGTAAGTGTTGGAGAACCCTGAGCTGCTAACTCTCGAAGCCGTAAAGCAGCTTCTCTGGGTATCGAAAATGTTACTCTGACTGAATTCCATGGTTCTATTTTATTTACTCTCAGACCATCTCCTTTTTCTGTAAATTGTATATCGTTTGCTTATTAATAATCATCATTATATTTGTATAAAAAATATTATTAACATTAATATTGTATGTATAATACGAAATTAAATTATTTACTTTTATAAAGTAAGATATTGAGATGATCAACAATAATTTCAAACTTTCGAGGGAACTCGGGATCTCCAAGATCACCCTCACAGGTTACCACCGTCTTGATCAGATCACCATCACTATCTGCCGCCATGACTGTGAAATTCATTATTGATAATGTCTTAATAAAACTCCAGGCAAAAAATAAAATTTTATTTCTACAATAATGATAATTATTTTTTTTATTCTTTATTAAATTTTTTGTAATAATAATGATAAATGTTAATAATAGTAGTATAAAAATTAATTTCAAAAGTTAAAAAAAAAAGCTTAAAGACGTTATTAAATAAAAAATTTAAGAAATGTTCATCTCATTAGAAAGATAGAAGCCTACGTATTTTTTAATTAATTTTTTTTAAATATAACTTCTAAAATAAATTTGGGATTTAAAAAAATATATAATAGTATTTACTAAAATAATAATTAAATCCTAATAATCATCTAATATTTATTTAATATAATATAAAAAATGATAATTACAGAAATTGCGAATAATATTTATACAACAATAAAATACGTACCAACCACAAATCACATAACTACCCAGAGAGTGTAGAAACGCCTCGGGGTATTGCTCTAATATGTGTGTGATGACGAGATGTCGTGTGTCAGTTGTACACCGACAGTCCCAAATCACACCAGTTCTACTAATCTTGTTTACTGTCAAACAAATAAGAGATTTGAATAATTAGACCACATAGAGAACAAATATTATTAAATTATGTTGTTACTTAACACTATATGTGTAAATGAATTAATATCAGTGAACAACATTGCATTTCATGCATGTATATACGTTAGCAAAATATATGTGATAATTTGCGCAATAATGACAATAATTTACATATGAAAGTCTTACAGCAGCATGTATGTATTCAAACATATCAATAGGTCTGTTTTCTACAACTAAACTATACATGAGTGTACACTTTCAGGACTTAAAGTGAAATAAGTCTGTTTGATTTAGCAAAACTATGTGAGAAAGAAAGTTCTAGATAGTCGTACGACAAATGTAATGTTAGCCTCATATAAGCAAAAAAAAGATCTGTATTTTTATAAAGTAGTAACACACACACACACACACACACACAGACAGAGAGAGAGAGAGCAACTGTGGCAGATACACTTGTATCTCTAGATAAAGATACTATAAAAGTAAAAAGTCCAATTAGATACATATAAATATGTCAAATGTATAAAGTATAAATTAAAAATAGTGCAAAATCTTCATTTTTTTTACTTATGGCAGATATAGGTCTGTTTTTTATAGCTAAACTAGTGTATACTTTTGTACTCAAATAGATTTAAAACTTTGTTGGTTTGACAACTTTGTGACAGCGAGAAATTTCTACTACAGCCTAGCAATAAAAAACAAACCTCATCCTTATGACAAATGAAAATAAAAAAAAATTTCTTGGCAGATATCATATGGCCAGTATGTACACATCTCACACACACACACACGCGCGCGCGCGCGGGCGCGCGCGCACACACACACACACACATTACACACATGCACACACATCTATACAATACCATCATTTTTAATATTTAAATGGCAATTAAGTGATATTTGACGTTACAATTTCAGTTTTAAATAAATTTCACAAAGAAACCAAGTGCGGGGGAGGGGGGGAAGTTTCCAGATGAAGATTATGTATCAAGCAGAGATAATTAATTCAATGACAAAATGAGAGGAGAGTGTCGTCGATCGGGAAAAGCCATATTATTCGCCGTAGAATCGATAGGAGGTTGGCCGCGCGAGAACGGCGAGAAAATGACAAAAACATACGGACACATATACACACAACAGACACAGACACACACACACACACATACACACCACATACATACACACGTATACGGATGCATAAACAAAAAGTGAGGCCCGCTAGGCTACAAATTACTAGGTTATAATTCGTGCTCGATTTCCGGGAGGCACGGGCACGGGCGATTACCGCGGGGAGTGAGGTCCGCGTCGAGCGCCCGGCCCCGCGGCGCGGTCGTCCAGGTCGTTACGCGCGCCACAGGCCGAGATCCGATTCCGCGGGGACGTGGCCCGTCTGAGCCGTACGTGTGTACGGAGCAATTAAAATCCTCTGGTGCACGAGCGGCCGCGGGGGCACCGTGCGCGCGAGCAACATCGCGAAATAGGTTATAGAGCGCATTTTTCCGACTGGGCGCGAAACGCGGACGGGCGGATCGACGGGGATCGACGGTTACGGGACGCGAGACGCGCGTCCCGACGTTCGCCGTAACGATTTTCGACAAAATACGGCATCCAGACCGTCGGAACATCGGGGGGCCACCATTTTGTCCGTCGGGGGAGGTGTACGTGAAGTGGGCTCAAGCATGCTCAAGATAGCCCGTCAAAAGTCGGGGGGGAATTATTTCTCTTCCTGGGGCCCCACGTCCACGGACGTGGATGTAATCTCACGATGGACGATACGCGCCCGGGCACGGAGAACGTATCCGCGCCCGCCGACGGCCGCGGCTCGGCCAGCGAGCCTCACTCCAGTCGTCGCGCAGCGCCGATTTGATACCGTATGAACACAGGAAAATTTCAACGTTACCCCATTTCTTTCCGACACTATCCGGGATTTCACGCGTCCGTACAGCACGGAGGCACACCGCCCGGGCACTGGTCTTAACCTAAAACACACGGCGCGGGCCCTACTTCACACTCGGCACACAGCGCGCGGCAGGGATCGCGAAAAAACTCGACATAATCGCTAATATAAAGAGACAAGTCATAAAACGCCATGAACAATAACAAGGTGCCGCCATTTGCAATGCGAGCAACTGACATGCGCAAATCAATCGCGCGGAGCATGCTGGGTACTTTCCGGATGGGGCGCCATCTTGGCCAAGATGTATATATGTCCCCTAACCTCGAATCGTCGCCTCGCTACTCGCGTCGTCGCGTCTTGATACTCTCGATAACGACGCTTGCGACGCTCCGCGTCGCTTCCGAGTTCCGGATGTTTTGCGTTCTCTTCTGCTAGAAACGCGGGACGTTCATCGGGAGCCTCGTTACTACTCTTGCTATCAATACTCCTTTTCATGCGATATTTGCGCGTATTGAGCGTGCAAAAATCGTATCTTTTACACTAATTAGATAAAAAAAAAATGTTTAAACCATCAAGGCTGTTACAAAGCTGCAATTTAAATTGAATGATAAATTTGAATACTGAATATGTATCGCTACGGCGTAGCTAAGTCAGAAAATAGATACATAAATGTTATGAGAAAAATTGCAATTGCTCATTAAATACAAGTACAAAACCAATTGTGTAATCGATAAGATGATCTTCAACACAAAAACATATATTTTTTTACATCAATTATTTTATGCGACAAATATGGACAATCCGGAATACAAATTTAACGATTAACTAAATCGATTATGGAGATCAATGTGCAATTGATAAGAAACTTAATATACTTAATACTATGTTGAATTTATTGATTATACATATATAGATATAATATATAATCCCGAAAAAGACTATCTTATTTTCGCTCTCTCAAGCTTTTCTTCTATCATTTGTACATATAAATTTACTTCTTTGAAGGCTTATAGGACTGCATGAGACCAGCCTCATTCATTATCTTTAGCTGTTTCTCTGCATCGTAAGTTCTGCAAAACAACAAAATTACAAACTTACTTATGTCCATTTCTATCAATGTAGACTAACTTTAATCTCATTAAAGATTCAACTAATTCTTCATCTAATTCTTAGAATTAAAAAAAAATAAAGAATTAGTTGAACCGAAATTAAAGTTAATCTTCATTGGTGAAAATTGACCCGCTTCTATCAATGTAGATTAATTTAGTTTATGTTTCATCTTTTTTTAGTTCTAAGAATTAGATCAAGTTCTATCAATGTAAGATTGATATTATTTCAGTTTAACTTACTTTATTTTTTCCTAATTCTTAGAATTAGAAAAAGATAAAGAATAAATTAAATTGAAATTAAAGTTAATTTTCCTTGGTAGAAATAAACATTAGACCATTATATAATATGAATTAATATATATAATATAATTAATACAGAATAATTATAAAAATATATAGTTAGGAAAAGTAAATTAATCTGAAACTAACCTTAATCTCAGATTGATTCACTTTCTACTCTTTTCTTAGAACTAGAAGCTAAAAAGTAAGTTAAACCAAGATTAAAGTTAATCTACATTATTAGAAGTGGACATTTTAGAGACTTTAAGTATAAAATGAAGATTATGTATAAATGCAATAGTCGTGACATTAGAGTGAGACTAGAATAAGAAACGGCAGTATTTTACAAAAGACATTTGTATATACCTGTAAAAATCAGCGTATCTTTGTTTTCTCTTATCGACAACAAGAATCTTATACGCCACCCCCGCACTGATGCTAACTACCATCATTGTTACAAGATTCTTTTTAATCTGTGCCGTGAGGAGATGTCGAAGTTGTGGTTTTACTATTGGAGTAGACATCTGAAATTCATAAAATTGTTATTATAAAACTTCCATTTTATTTATCAATTTATAGATAATGCTATTAATGGAAAATTTTAATCAGATAGTTTGATTTTTAGATTTAAAAATAAATATTTATGATAAATTTGATCATTCATACTACTGGATTAATACATATTAAAGGCTGCTTTATGTAAAGTATCTAAATGCAATAGCATAATACAATTAATTTTGATTAAAAATGAATAAAATAATACATATCCTGTTAAATAACATCACAATAATATTATTTAAGCATTTAAAATATTTATGTGCTTCCGCATTTAATTTTGCTGATTTTATGACTAATTTAATATAATGCAAGTGACTGAATCGTTATTATTTCAATCTAATAACGATTCAATCACTTGCATTACATTAAATTAGTACTGTTATAAAACCAGGGTTTGAATAAAAAATTATTTAAATGATAAAATTTTAATGACAAACATTTAGATGTCAAGACTATAACAAAACTGTCGAAAATCATGCCATTAAATTTCCCGAAATAGGTTACTTGGGAGCATAATGCTTATCAGCTTTTTTTTATACGAATTTGCGTGAGAGATGCTTTTCGATCCTCGGAGATAATTGAAGTATCTCCGAGGCTCACATGAACGTGAACATGATATACAAATGTCAGTCATGCATCTGTGACAGAAATATAGAGATTTATACGTGATTTAATCAAGATAGGATTTTATGATGCACGAGATATATACATTATATAACGTTTCATTAACATATACTTAGCGGCTTGTTTTTTTCGAGGGGACTACTTTGCATGGATGGCAGAACAAAGATAATTTTATTGGAAGAATATATCTTGCCTTGAATGATCTTGTTCGTGTCTATTGCTGTCAAGCTAGACGTAATAAAGAATATCGTGAAAATTCAGACAGATATCGACCATCGGCTACAATACTCGATAAAATAACGTCGATTCGCTCGAGTGAGGCCTCTTGGATCTGTTTTCAGAACGCGACTGAAATCTTTAAGCGAAGTACACATAGAAATATAAGCATCGATTGACGATTTCCGGAAAAGATTTGCGTTCATTGGACATCGCGTGCGTCTCTCTGTTTTGTAAGTTATTCCTTTTCATCGCATTTCCTTTGTGGCCTTTTTGCGTTGGAAATAAAATTAAAATATAATGATATATAGTGAGTGCTGTAGAGAAAAAGAAAAGAATAAAAGATGAACTTAAGAAACACAAGAAGTCTGCAGCTTTTTCTTGTAGATTAAAATATCTTCTATAAATAATGTATTATATTAGTAATTTTCTTGGCAATTTATTGGCGATTGATTGTAAACATTGTGAATATATTGGGTCAATATTATGCCGATAAATATATTGTTAGAGTTTGTTTAAAGTATTTAAATAAATATTCAGATTTCTCTCTCATTAAGGGCAACTTCGATGATCAAATTTTGATTTGAATTTTAATTTGATCGGAATTGTCAAAGACAAAATATCGATATATAGTTTCAAATAGCACAGAGAGTTAAAAAAGAATTCAATATCGATAGAATTAAAACAAAATTTCTAACCACAAATAATCTCTATAATTATATAATAGGTTCCTAATCTGATAATTTTTTTTTATATGATAAACAATTTAAGGAATTAATATTTCTATTTATGTTAATCAAACAATACAAGTACACTTGATAAGTTAATCAGGTTGATTAAATTGTAGTTTAGTCTGGTTGGTCATTAATCAGTCAAACTCTAAAGACAAAAAATGAGGAATGTCGAGAAAGAAAGAAAGAAAGGAGAGAACGAACAAAAAGGAAGAGAGAGAGAGAGAGCGAGAAGGAGGGGGAGAAAGAGAGCGCGGTTGTCATTGGTGGAGTTTGGACAAATCAAACGACGCGTTGCGTTTGCGTCTCGGTTATTCTGGGAATTGGACGAAATTCTCGAGAATTTGTCGTTGAGGGGATTTCAATGAGCTACAATGAGGGGTACAGGGAAAGGTTCTCTTATTGTCTGATGTGACAGTCTCGATAAGTTTTTGTCATGACTTTTCGTCCTCGCGAATGATGCTTGGCGGATTACGTTTCCGTTGACTGTTGAAAGTCAACGCGTAGTAATTCGCGTGTGATGGCAGCGTTGCGTTGCGTTGCGCAAAAGAGACAGCTGACTAGTGTGATGGTCTGAGAACTCGCGTCCTCGCGTCCTTGCCGTCCTTGGTTCTTACGTACATCTGTACTCACTTTGCACTTGCGAGACCTACGTAACGCACGTAGACACGCTGGATCGAGCAAACGGTCAGTCGACAAGTTAAAATAACGATTCCTTTCCCACTCAGTGGTGTTATTTTCCCTGAAAAGTGTGTATTATTGTTCGATTTAAAGTACATTGTCTCATCCGGGACAAATCTAGATATACGATATCTGGGAATCGATATCGCTTTCGCTCGAATTTGTCCCGCGGAGGACAGATATTTTGCTTAATTAACGTATGTATTGTACACACGAATGATGTGATGAATGTGATTGACTTGTTAATTAAAGTGAATTATTCCGTGTATGACTAATTTGCTTTGTTATTTGCCAAGTTGCACAGATGTTATGTATTTCTCATTTTATTTTCAACATTTTAATTAAAATCGTTCCCTAATGATTCTTTGAAATGAATTTAAAAAGATCCCTACTTTACATAAATTGCGTAATTTTTAAAAATGTTGGGAATTTTTATGTCATATTAATCGAGCGTCTGGTCGGAAACAATACAATGAGATAAATTATTTGCATTTCAATACAGTTTTCTAGAGGGCTGCACTGAAGCAGTCTGTATCTACCGATCATGGAACAGATGATCGCGTTGAGTACACAAAATCCATTGTCATTACTAGTTAAATTTGGTATGATGGCCTGGAACAACAGCTGTGGAAATGATAACTGTTCTGGCCATGGGGAATGCCATAATGGGACCTGTCTATGCGAGGTATTACTATTATTGGTTATTATCAAATTGTTCCGAGATAATAATGTTTTAATTATTTTGTTTCAGATTCAGTTTGACGGACCGGAATGCCACATCCCAAATCTGAGTTACTACATCGCATTTGCATCGATTTTTTTCTTACTGGCTTTCGTCTGTTTGATACAGCTTGTCATGTGCATCATTGCTGAGTGGCAAAGAATGAAGGCACCATCATTTCTGAGAGCATGTAGAGTCACCACTCAAAAAGTGTTGTACTTTGTAGTTTTTCTTGCATCAACCATACGAGGAGCATACTTTACCTCACCTGTATGTAAACAAGTATTTGAAAATGTTTTTCATTTATTATTTTAATTACACGCTCTTAATTTTTTATAGACTGCTTTTAAGGAAGGTTGGTCTAGGAGTTTGCTGTCAGCGTATTATCCATTGCTCTTGAGTGGATCATCGTTGCTTGTTTGTTTCTGGGCTGAAGTGTTTCATCTAAGAGATATTCGTTGGGACAAACCTCAATTTTTGTCAAAATCTTTTCTGGCCTTTGTTGTGTTCAACATATTAACATATTCCCTTTTATTTGCGGAATTCATCACAGCTCGGACTTATTCACAAGTAGACCGAGTATGTATCAGAATAGGAAATATATCAATGTAACAGTAATATAATAGTAATTTATGCGTATTAATATCATTTTACTAATTTGCATGTGTGTGTTAGTGTGTATATAAAAAAAATTAATAAAATTCTTTTGCTTCTTTCTAGAGCTTTTATACACATGTATTCAACGGCTGTTACGCAGTGCTTCTGTTCATTGTAGTGGTCTTCTTCTTGATATATGGAGTGGAAGTGTTTTTCAAAGTACGCTACTTTTAAATTACAGTACTCTTATAGCACATTTGCATTGTAGAGCTATTTCATGATATTTTTTTATCATTAGGTTCGTGGTGGATTCTTGAATGAATGTCAAGTTGCTTCTATCGCAACAAATAAACGTGTAGCTGATACAACAAAGATCCACACTGAGGATCAAGTAACAGCAAAGCTATTTGATCCAGGTCCATCTACATCCACAGCAGAGCCTGTGCATACGCAACAAGTGAATACATCTCAATTACATCAGTCAAGATTTGGATTACTCTCTCAAGCATTTATGTTGTTTATAGTAGTTGGTTTTCTGTTCAGTGAAACTCTCAGTGAATTTTGGAAAACAAAGTAAGGAAATAAAGGAACAAATATAAGTTACATAGCGAATTACAATATTTGCAATTGAGAATTTTTGAATTTGTTTTAAATTCTTATTCTAAGGTACCATTGTACAGCAGGAATTGGCATGATATTGTATTTCGTGTTATTGAAGTTGGTGTAGCACTATGGTTTCCTTGTGTTTTATGGAATTGTATGAGGTATATATTCATACATTTCATGTATTTTACATGTATCCTATAAAATTTATTTTATAATATATTCTACCATTTATTTCCGTTTCAGTCCAGAGCAATTGTGGATTTTAAATCCAAAGCGCATATTGAAGAAATTAGATTTGGACCAAGGAAAACGTATAAAAGAAATCGAATTACAAGAAAAAGGCACATCTCAAGACACGTTTCTTTCTGCAGATGCAGCATCAATTAATAGCAAAGATTGTTGGATTTGTTACGATAATGAAAGACAGGATGCTGGTCCATTGATACAACCGTGCCAATGTAGAGGTGATGTAAGCGCTGTACATCATGATTGTTTACGTCGTTGGCTCGTTGAGGTAAAACAGTTACAATTTCTTATATATTGTTTATTTTCAATACAATGAACTTTGTCAGTTATGATTCGTTCTTCTTTCAGAGCTCTTTAAATGCGGACAGTCTCGTTTGTAAAGTTTGCAATACGAAATATAACGTTGAACATGCCAGTCGGTTGGATTGGCAAAACAGTTTGACTCCACGCCATTGTCTGCAAACTATTGCCATTGTTACTACGATGTGTGCATCTTCTGCCGCTGCCTGGATAGTTATCCAACTTGTAGAAGGGCCCATCATCAGAATGCTTGCAGCCGGAAGTGCACTATTAATTATATACGTCTGCATAAGGTGAGTAAATATTGATTTTATGAAAGTTAAATATTAATCTTTCAATCTATACAATTGAAATTGTTCTAGATTTTTGAGCGTGAATACCGTCGTAGCGTATCAACGAGCCAAAATCTCATCGTTAAATATTGTTAACAGTGGTAGTGAGAGTAATGTAACTGCACAAGTAACTACAATTAGTCATACAATTTCAGTGGACGTAACGAAATCGGATATGGCTACGATATAATCTGTACTTGCCATCATTGTATAATGTCATTGTATAATGCTGAGTTCACACTGCTACGTACGCTACATACGGTATGTATATTACGTATGCTATGTTCGCTACACTGAGTGGCCATACCGAAAATTATGTTTTGGATCAACATTGTTATTGATGATAAATGTTTAGTCAGAAAAATTGAAATTCAATAAACAAAGGCAAAAGTCGAGCTTAGAAAAGATATATAAGTATATTCTAATAAATTTGAAAATTACCTATGTAATAATCGGTATAAGTTTCAACTTTACTCTTCAATCTTCATCAGCCGCATTAAAACAATATAAAATTATCAATTTTCTAAGAGTTACATCAAAAGTTACAAGAAATCTATAATTAATCGTTGATCGTTGAAATGAATATTGGATTATTGGAGATGATAAAAATGTGATGAAAAATGAAAAGTGAAGACAGAACGAAGATCCTAAGTAAGAAAAACAATGCATTAGATAACGATATGGAACCTGTTAATTAGCTTTTAGAGGAGGAGAGAACAACCTTTGATCCTATTATTATTTGATATTAATTATAGATTTCTTATAACTTTTGATGTAATTTAGAATTAGCAATTTTATATTCTATACTAAGATTCTATAACTCTCCTAAGACTGTTGAAGGAATTTTATATTGACTATTGATTTTTAATGTAAGACTTAACAAGATTCTCGACATCGACCGACCGAGAGTTTGATTATCGAGATTTTATATACGACGGACTTTGCAATAAGATTTATTTCTGATCTTACTGTGCATGCCCGTACGTGGTAATGCTTTAAAAAAAAATTTGAGAATCAAACACTCATCGGCGCAAACGTAGCGTATGTATGTGCAGTCGTTTACTAAAAGATTGCAACACTTTTTCGATGATTTTCGAAGTGTAGCCTGTTCATCGAGCGATTGGTTCTTATTTACGAATTTAACCATTTATGTTCAGCCGCTCTACAAGCAAGAATGAGTGTTTCGAAAAAAAAGTGTTGCAATCTTTTAATAAACGTCTGTACATATCGTACGCAACTCGATATGACCAGTCACATTAACTATTAGGGCTCGGACAGACAAGCAACTCTGTGATGCGATAAATATAAGCGGCGACCTACATGCTTCATGCTTGTGTGTGAATATATCTACTTGTATGCTTGTTCATCGCTCCACAAAGTCACTTGTCTGTCTGAATCCTTAGGACTGTGTTCCAAAGGGCTTAGTACCAAACCGTCACTACCAAAAATTTATAGTTTACATTACCTGCATTAAAATTTTCAGTTTTGGCAGTAAATCTTGGAACACAGCCAAAGAAAGCTATTTTTTGAAAATGTAGCAAACATAGCGTATACGTAACGTACGGTGTGGCTTCAGCCATAAAACTCGTTCGCACGATATGATCGTTTGCTGTATGAATTTTTTTTGCCGTGCTGTACAGTGGCAATACATTTTATATATGCGATTTGGTAAAACAACCAAATTGGTCGTCAATGATACGTATATTGTAGTGGACACGTTCAGACAATACGGTTTTTCTACCGATTCGACTTTTCTGCTGTAGAATACAGCACCCAGTCAGCTGTTTAACGAAACATTTTAGCTAATCCGCGATGTACAATTTTGTACTTGTCTACAGAGAATGGGAGTGTAATAACTATAACGTCGTTATTTTTTTATAATAACGATTTGATAATAACATTGCAATTTTTTTATAACTAATGATAACTAACTAAATACTAAGGTTGCGATAAAGTTGGGAAAGTTACTTTATATTTTCCCACTTCTGTCTAATCCTCCTCTTAAATTATGCAGACTTTTGCTTTCTTATTTTAAATAATTTAAATCCATCAACCTTTCTGCATAAAAATGTGCTTACTTGTGATTGTTCCGCGTTTTGTTCACGCCTACTTATCTGCCACTTAGAATACTCTTTTTAGGCCGCGGTCCAATTGTGCTCATAACAGTAGTCATACTGTGTACCTCGGTCCGTGTTGCATCATCTCAACATTTTTGGAAAGTGTGGCCGGTTTAAACGATCAGTATTCAAACTAGCTTTTGTGTATTCTTTTGAAACATTATCTGACCGTATTGATTTCTAAAAGCTTGTTCCTAGAGGTAGGTGCCACTGTTTCGGGTGTTGCATCACTTCGATTATATTTTTGAAAAGCGTGGCCGGTTTTGAATGTGCATTTGCATTTCTCAATTCATAATTCCTTCATTCGTGTAGATGCGCGTCCGTGGTCCGAACCATCGTAGTCGTGGGTGCTCAGTGTCTGAAAGGGCGCTTTGCTTTTGATTACATTATCCCTTTTGTCATGTCTGCCCGATTCAAGGTGGCCGGTGCATTGCATTTATATTACACGAATTATTCAATTTCGAAGACCACTGACCCGGTATCAGCCTGTTAGGTTGTGGGGCCGATAAAACAAGAAATTATGCTCATAACGCTCATGAGCATTATTTGTCTTTGTTTAATATTTGACAAAAATGAAATAATTTTTAAGTGTTGTGAGTTGGACCGTGGACTTAAAATATTTTAAAACTGACTGATTTATGGCCAGATTCTAGTCGACATGGTTGCGAGCGTCAGAAAAAGAAGAAGGGAAAATTACTTCGAAAAGTAGCTTGTCATTATTATTTACTGAAAAAAGTAATTGTTGTAAAGCACTGATGCGTTACTTTATTTAAGTAACGAGTAAAAGTAATTCGTTACAAATAACTTAGTTACTCTTTTTTCAGTAATAAGTAACTTTTCCAATCCGTTACAAGTAACAATTGACTTTTCCAACTCTGGTGTTACCGTTACTGTCATGAAAAATTCACAAATTCATCATTCTATATCGTTATTATAACAAAGTAACGATAAAAAAATGACATAAATAATTTTCTTCTTATATACTACGCAATGAAAGATAAAGACAGAATTTTCAATGAGTTTAATAGAAAGATCTGTGAGATGGGATGAAATGTTGAACATTTATAAAGATAAAAATATAACGAAATCTGCATAGAGACATAGATATTGACATTCGGAAATATATTGAAGTTTTAATTTATCTCTTCTCAGTTGACATATAAGTGTTCGATACAATCCCAGACGAAATCTCTAACTCACAATTGTATGTATATTTTCTATTAATTGTTTTATGACGATAGCGAGAGTATAAATAAGAAACATATTCACATCCATTTGCGAGAAAGTTGATAGAATAGTGGAAGGAAAATTAATTGTATGGGAGAATATAGACGGCAAGATTACCGTATGTCTGAATGTGGCATCAAACTCTTGACTGATTTGCACCGATTCGGTGAAATTATCGGTATAGTCAAAAACTGTATCGTGTGTAAACGAGTTCTAACGAATACAAGTATCTTTTTACTTGAAATAAAAGATTTAAGATAGAAAAAATAGAATAATGCGGATATGTACGCTTTTCAAGCGTATATAACAAATAATAATGTACAAAACAACGATGATGGAGATACAGTATGTTTCTACTCTCAAGGAAAGGCTCAGAAATAGTTCTTATTGATTTCATTGAAACTTGACGAATTCATAGAGTGTGTTTCTCTGAATATAATTATACCCCTATCTTGAGAGTAGATGGTTACCTATTTCCGAAATATTTCAATATTAAATTTAATTCACTAGAATTTATACTTGAATTTAGGGTCTTAAAAAAATTCATGTTTTGTTTTCTTCAAAACTTCCAGCCTAAGATTTCATTGAAATCGATAAGGATAGCTTCTGAGCCTTTCTTGTCAGAATTTTTATATGCTTATAAAATAACAAAGTTACTTTATAGAGCGTGAAGGAAAAAACTGAGAAAAGATATACTGTATTTACATTTTCACGATAGGTTTAGAACAGTTGCCAAACTTCCATATTTTACTTCTCCTGATTATTTCATTGTATGACACTCATGTATTTATGTTTTCATGATTTATATCGTATGTAACACACATATAATTTATATATTTACATAACAAAACGGACGAGGTATGTTGAAACTTCAGTTACTTTGTTCTATTGAAAATATTGCATTAATAATACATTATATTTCTATTCATATGTAAAAATTTGAATATCAAGTATTCAAAATTGCTGTGAGAAAAGCAATTACAAAAATATATCAATAGTATAAGCTATTTTAAAAGATAATACAATTTTTTTGAACATAGATATAATTTCAACTTGGTGCAATTTACCGATTAGTATTTATAATTACGTTAATTTAATAATTTGCTAGCAAGTATATTAAAATATTTAAAAGGAATGTTATATAAAAATATAACATATAGTTACATATGTATAGACTATTAAGATATGTAGTAGATTCTTCAATAACTGAATACTTATAAGAAAAAGATTGTGTGGTATGTTGTATTCTTCATAAATTGCTTTATATATATATATATAATAATTGCTAGATTTTCATTATTTTCGATATCAAAAAATGTATTAGGTTAAGTAAATCTTTATCTGTATCATCTCGATCTTTTTCGATAATAATTCATGAAAAAAGAAATTCGTTGCAGATTGTATTAAAAATGAAATAATATAATATTGGAGTACTTCTCTATTGTATTAATCATGTATTAAGATATTATGATTAAGAAAACTAGTTAAAATGCAATATTAATAACATTGTATAAATCATCGTGAACAATTACATTTAATAATTTAATTGTTAAAAGTACATAGAGATTATGAATATCTTTTTATAAAGTGCTAAAATTTATATTATTTCTAGAAACATCTTTGAAAAATAGTCGTAGATATATATATATAATAATTTATATATGTGTATATAAAAAGGTTTGAGTGTCATATAAGGATTATTTCCTTTATGATGTTTTGTATACAAACAATAATACACATTATGTATTATGCAATAATGCGTTATATCTAATATAATTCGGAAGTTATCATGTATATGATAGTGTTTCTTTAATGCTTCAATTTTAACAATTATTCAATTGTAGAAAGTATTGCATTAGTAATTCAATAACGATTGACAATTCCACACATATTAGATTTTAGTGAACAAGAATTGATCTTAATTGTATCTGACAGTAAATTGTATCGTAAAATGAAATTTTTAA